GCTCCTTATTGTATGTTTTTCTATGCAATTATAAGCACAAGATTTTTTTTAACAAAAACTTTTATCTGAGTTATCTTTAAAATATTGACGGAATTATGAAAATAATAATTTTGAATAACGTACAGAGGAAGCCATTTTGCAGAGTAGTAACATTCTGATAATATGCAACTCTAAACATTTTGTCCAAACAGATTTAAATAAAAGATATCGATTTTTATTTAAATTTGAGAAAAATGTGTGTGTGTGTGTGTGTGTGTGTGTGTGTGTGTGTGTGTGTGTGTGAGAGAGAGAGAGAGAGAGAGAGAGAGAGAGAGAGAGAGAGAGAGATGCATATAATAGATATGTTGCTGTAATAGATATGTATGCTGCGTTGTTTCAAATCCTCAAAAATTTTTATAACTTAAAAGGAGATAAATATATATTCAAACTTTGAAGAGAAAAAACGAAGATGCTGATTGCAAGTAATGCGAACAAATCTAATAGCATTTATTTTGATTTGAAATTTGAACAAAACAAGAGTGTTTGTTTCATTGCACTCATTACAATTTACTTTATTTTATTAAATTTACCATCTAATTGATTTTTTTCATAATAATTTTTATATTACGCATTCCTTATACGTTATTTTTTATATGTTGTATCTTATTCCTGCATTATATGCCTTAGCTCTATCGCCGACTATCTTTATGCGTGAACATAAAAACAAAACGTTATATGGGGTACGATGAGCGTATGTGATTGATTTACCGAGGGGAGTAAATGCCACGCGCAGATAGAAGCGAACCCTCGAAAGTAAGTGTCGAGGATACGAAATGGTTTTCCTGCGAAAAACGCAAGAAGTTCACTCGAGTTTTCTCTTCCTCGCAGATGCATTATTATACTTTAACAGTTTATTTACTCGGACTTAAAATTCTACAATTCTTTAATGGATTCGGTATTATCTAAAGATTTAAGAGGAATTAATTCAAAATTAGAATATACAGGATATTTCGAATATTGACAGTTTACACATAAAGAATGATTTTGCTGAATTCTTTAAGAATGTAGCTATTATACATAAAAATAATCACGTTAAATTACCAAAATAATTATGCAGGACGCTCAAATATGATGATGCCGTAAAAAGTTTTCTAGCAAGCTTGAGCATCCAATGTAATTATTTTAACGATTGACTAACTAGCTAAATTTTTAGATATGTCAGAAAAATTATTCTTTTCGTCTATTCCAGAAATACAACAAACATTTGATAAAAACACATCTCCTTATAAGATGCCATTGTTTAAATTTATATATTACGAAATATCAATATAATATGCAGTATAATCAAGCAAAGGGAATTATCAGTAATCAGGAACAAATTAAAAGAAAAACAATTAATAAAATTGCGATTGATATTTTTCCTTTATATTTATAATATAAATTTGTAGCCTTGTATTCGCATCCTTCTAATCCTGATAAGATTTATTCCCGAATAGAGATTAACAGATTACTATTAATCACTACGCACCAATGCATCCTTACGTGTATATATACGTAGATTCTCTATTGTATGCTTGACGTAAACGCGCTCGCGTTGTACATTATTAACCCGGTATGCGCAATCTGACGATGTTGAAGTAGCGAAACGATGTAGGCGAGCGAATAAACAAGTAAACGGTATCTTCTCTGGGAGGGACAGGAGCTCGGTCGACGGGGGATGGCTGTACTTTGTCCGCTCGTCCATCTCCGTGTCCGGATGACAGGTGCAGGGAGCCCTCGTTAGACAAATTAAGCAACCTTTCTGGCCTCGCGATGCTGTCGGTGTTATATCTTCGTCTACTTTCATCTCTCGTCCATTTTCTCTCTCCGCACGCACGCACGCACATTTGTACGCACACACGTGCGCGACTATTCGCTGGGACTGGTTTCGAGTGGACTGCAAACACTCGTGTAGCAGCAGCAGCCAGCAGCAGCAACAGCAGCAGCAGCAGCAGCAGAGGCTCGAATTGTGTAGAGACTGGGCATAAGACGAGTCTCTGTACGGCTACCGTGACTGAAATGCCGGTGATACAGTCCATCTCGAATCAGTAAAGTCCTAGAAAATTATATCTTCTATCGAGACATCTCCCATCGATAGGAGATTTCTCTAATTTCGTGTATATGTATTTCAATATACAAGAGATCGCATGCACGCGTCTTCAGCGTTTCAATCAACTATGATCTTCCAAGCGAAATTATATTTGTAGAATTGCGGATTTTTCGTTGATATTAAATTTCTCTTAAAATAACATTTTCTTTCTCTCTGTATCTTTGTTTTGAAAAACAAAGAATATTAAAAATTTGGTTCCACCGAATTTGGGGAAGATTAACTTCAATCTAGATTAAATTGAAGTTAATTCTCAGCGTCATTTTAAGATCAACTACGATCTTCCAAGCGAAATTATAAATATATTTATGTAATTGCAGATTTTTTGTTGATTTTTTTAAATTTCTCATAAAGTAGTATTTTCTTTCTTTCTGCATCTTTGTTTCGAAAAATAAAGAATTATTAGCCCCGGAATTATTGATTTCACCAATAGAGGATTAACTTTAATTTCGGGTCAATTTACTCTTTATCTTTTTCTAATTTTTAGAGAATTAGAGATTAAAGTTAATATTACAAAGCAAGAAAGGAAGCAAAGAACATTGTAGATTAGGCTTAAGAGTTCGTAGATACGCGTGTTTTACGAGACAAGTCTTTTTGTACCGTTAAAGCTGATGCGAAAATTAATTACAGCGACGTATAGCTTCCAGTGTTAACTCATCGGAAAACAGATATAGGTACGCAAAAGTGCTGTAACGCGTAAGTGCTGTACACGCGAAGAATTCTTAAAGAAGAGGTAGGAGAGACGCGACTGTGAAGGGAGACAGGACGAAAGGTTGCGCGTCTTCTCTTCTGCCGTTTCTTTAACCATTCATTCAAACCCGCGGCCTATTCATGGTACGTTTATCTACCTGCGCATCATGGGATCCCCATTAAAGACGGGTTCCATTCACCTACGCGTGCAATGACGAACTTATCCCTCGGATCTTGGCAGGCAGTCAATGTCCACGGTTCTCTTTTGACCCTCGCTTCAAGACGATGAGAGGAACATTTGATAATCCTTGACGCCAAAAGACAGGCGGAAATTTAATCGCCATTGACTTGGTTTTTCAGAGAGAAAAAGAGAGGGACAGA